CTTTTTTGGTTGTAGTAGATGCATTTTCAAGGTGGGTGGAAATTGCCTCCATGAATACAACTACATCGGAGGCCACTATTAAAGAATTACAGAAACTATTTTCCACGCACGGACTACCGGACATGTTAGTGTCCGATAATGGCCCTCAATTCACTTCAGCGGTGTTCCAAGCTTTTTTAGCAAGGCTAGGAATAAGACATGCATTGGTAGCCCCTTATCATCCGCCAGCAATGGCAGAGCGGAACAGGCAGTCCGCTCCGCTAAAGATGCTTTACAACATTTGGGTTCAGGTCCTTGGGAACAGAAAATAAATTTGTATTTATTGGCCCAGCATTCAACACCATGCCCTTCAACTGGTAAAAGTCCAGTTGAATTATTAATGGGATGGTGTCTTCGCACCATTTTGGACAAGTTACACCCACATTATCATGCAAATGCTGCTCCAGAGTATGCAGAACACACTCATAATTTTGAGTTGGGGGAAAGAGTATACGCAAGAAATTGCATAGGTGATCCTAAATGGGTACCAGGTCAGATAATTCAAATTACTGGCCCGTGCTCTTATAGGGTCCAGTTAGATGATGGTTGGCAATGGTGACGCCACATAGATCAACTTTGGCGCTGCAATGCAAGATAATTCAACCTGATAGGGCCCAATCGTCCAACTGTTCGTCCTTGCCACCGCAATCAGAAGACAACATCGTCCGACCAGACTGTTACCAATCCGGTTTCAACACTTCTACAATTCCTGTATTTTTATCGCAGGAGCATTTACCTGTTGATCCATGCCTTATGGAAGGGGAGGGGTCTCTGGAGGGGCTGACCGAGGAGTCAGCAACATCAGAGGAGATGCGAGAACAAACGTCTTCTCCGGCAGAACAGAAAGAATTACGGTGCTTGGAAAGGATCTCCTGGAAACCTGTATACCTCAGAGACTATATATGTATCATCCATGGGGGAGTGGTGCTACGTCCTGAGGTCTCAAGAAAGACATGCCAATCAATGGGCAAAAGTAATCCGTTGACTCCGGCGTGGGTGCAGGCTTGCGGAAGCCGGGCAGGCTTCCTATTGGTTAACAGTTTGACAGCCAGCATATAAAAGGCTGTCAGTTAAGTTTGTTGTTCTTTCATTAATAAACGGTTATTGTTACATTAGTCTCCTGGCATTACTTCAGGAGAATATCTACCAATTTTATTGTAAAATAATAAACCTCTTGGATTAGATGGCTTGTTTATTTTCTTCCTCAATGCTTATATGGGTACCTTCAGAAAACCCACAAGCAAGGAATGAAGAGATTATCTACTGACATAATATCACGCTTCAAAACATTTGTTGTCACTACCGTAGCTATTCAAAGAAAAATCCCATCTCAGGAAGTTCAGGCACTGAAAGAATCAAAGAGAAATGTTGATCTATCTATCAAGGTATATTGGCAAAGACCTCAGAAAACTCTGAAAATCAAATTCCAAGGAACCAAACAAGTACAAGAGCAGAAGTCAAAGGGTCTGGCTCCATTTTCATTTCTGGTCTTTGTTCATATCACATTTCTTTCTCTGCAATTGGCTGAAACCCATGTCAGAAAAGACACCCTAACTAATCCATAATGATCTAGGATCTAGGAATTATGAGCAATACAGAAAGTAGAGAACGTCAGTTGCAGATTAGAATTTTACCTCATGGATCATGATCTCAATTGTGTGGCTTCTGTATGTTGGAGGAAAGAGATTCGTGGATGAAATAGTAGCAACTAAAATCATTTCGGTTTTTTTTTCCCTTTACCTTATTCTGTCTTTTCTTCTTTTTTTACACATACATGTAAACATACACATACATATATGTGCATATATATGTGTGTACGTATGTATATGTACATATATATGTATACACACATAGACGTATACACATACATATATACACATACACACATAGTTTTTTTATTTATTTCTCAATTTAAAAAAAATATAAATATTTCATCTTTCCTTAAGCAATGTGTCGCCTGGGTACAAATATTTCTGTTCAACATCCTTCCATAGATTATAATACATTGAACAGTTAAACATTGTAAAGCTCTTCATTTCCTCCTTAACGTATCTTCTAGTAAAAATACAATAATATTAAACATAGTTATTCTCATCACACTAATACTAACAATTGTCATTTTATTCTTATCTCTATCTTGATATATTTTGTATTCTTCTTTTTGCCTTCTTTTATTTCCAATTTCCTTTTTTATTCTCTAACCATTGATAAAACACTTCTATTATCATATAATAATCAGTTTGTTCCAATGTTAGTCTATCCATTTCTGCACATTCTAATGTTTTCCTAATCACCTTCTCTTCAGTTGGAATCTCTTCACATNGCTTTACTGGTTACAGGTTTCAAAAGGCAACGTGGCTCTGCCTGCAATCAAACTACACTTGGGGAGGGAGAGCACAAGCGAGCCAGGGTCCTTCCTTCCAGACTTTGCCCAAAGCCCCACACCAGGAGGATGAAGTTTGAATTCCTCCCCCTCCCTCCGACCCACATGTACCTTTTCCAGCTGCTTCAAAGAGGACTTAAACTCTTGCCTTGGGTCCTCTGAAGAAGCCCTGCCCAAATGAATGCCCTCTACTATGAGGCAGGAGAAGTGAGTGCCTCACCTACATCAGGAATTTTTAGGCTTTTAACTCTTGCTTAACTCTGCTCGAGTGATCATAAAACGCATAAAAAGACTAGATGAGGCACACACTTCTCCTGCCTCATAGTAGAGGGCGCTTTTTAGAGGCTTTTTTAAACAGAGTTATCCACAGTGAGGCAGCAACTAGCTCAGCCTGACATCAGCTCTCGCCTTTTTCCTTTTACATTTTTTTTTTCATGACAGGCGTGAGGCTGTGCCTCTCTTGCCTCACCTGACTACACGTCACTGTTCCTAATGCATAGAAACAAATATTGAAGCAAGAATTTTAGAATAGGATGGTTCCTACTCCTTGAGAACCAGGATTTCAAGAATGAGGAATAGATGGGATAATGGAAATTTGAACAGAGTCCATAGGTTATCCAAAACAGGAAAAAATTATACCATAAATTCCTCAATTGATAGTAAACTCCTCAGCTCTGGAATCAGCAGATCATCTGATAACACATGACACCCAGGGATGGGATCCTACTGGTTTAACAACTGGTTCGCTGAGCGCACGCTTCAATTGCACATGCGCCTGACATGCGTTGTGCGCGCATGCAGTTTATAGAAAACTTACCTTCCGCATTACCGCTGATCGGCTGGGCTTCGGAAAAGGAAATATAGGTGAGTATAGCACTGGGGCAGATGGGCAGGCCCACTTTAAAGTTGGAGCTAACTGGTTCGCTCCCAGCTGGTAGTTGGAGGTACCGGTTCACCAAAACAGTAGAATCCCACCCCTGATGACACCTAGTCCAATCTTATTAAGAATTACTGGCTCAAGAAAAGCTGTAGAAGTGCATTTGAAATGACCTTGTAAAATTAATGCAGTATCTTTATACTCTTTTTTACTTTCAGACTGGAAAAGTAAAGATACAGTTCCTAAGTTGGTTTCGGATTTCATGAACAAAAGGTTTAGCCTAGATCCATTAATTACTCACACTTTACCGTTTGATAAAATCAACGAAGGTTTTGATTTGCTTCACTCAGGAAAATGGTAAGACTTCCTTTTAAAAAAAGGAATTTGGAGAAAACATTACTTACTTTGCTTAGTTGTACAGTTGGGATGATGTAACACAGGTGATCATGTTGTTGTGGCTGTATCTTGAATTTTTAATTCCATTCCAGAGACCCCCCATTTCTTATAGAAACTAGATTAAAGCTAAAGTTTTCAAATACTTGCCATTTTATACTGAGAAATTGATTTTGTTGCCATTTTAATTATATTAGCTATGCTGACAATTTTGGCTAAAGGTGACAAATCAATAAATACTATGTATTTCAGTTCATTATTAATGAATAAAGGCACCAATAAGGTGATAATCAACTGAAATCAATGCTGATAATCATCTAAAAGATTAAGAAATGTCACAGGAAATAAGCTTCCCCATATTTGTGGGAAGATTTGCGCCACCAAATTATTTCTTCCTCATACTTTCTATCAGAAGGCTACTGTTGTTATTGGAACTGTCTTTTATGCTGTACAAAAAGTATAGTAGTGGAGTGCCTTGTTTGCAAAAGAGAATACAGGTTTATGTGTGTTATTAATTTTTCCACAAAAATAATGGAATGTTAGGAAGGTTTAATTTTTTGCAGAATTAGTCCATTTTCGTCTGTTTATTTTCACCCTCCCTTTAATCTGCCTTGGAAGTTCTTACAATATTAATCTATTGATAAAAATAGTCATGAATATTTATTATCACTGGGATTGTTTGAAGTATAAATAACATTTCTTGAATTTGCTAAGAAAAGAAATAACCACATTTAACTTTTTTTTCTGATGTTTCAGCATCCGTTGCATCCTGACGTTTTAAAGCCCCTGGTTCGGAAGAAAAATAGAAAACCATCATTTTTGTCTTGTCTCTGAAATCCACCAGAAATGCATTAGGCAGCATATATACTTCAATAAGCCAGTCAACAGAAAGAGAATTATTTCTTTTCTTTCTATCTCCCCGATCTGGTTCATATGTTATTATTACTGCTGAATTTACCCACAAGGAAGACATCCCTGAAATTAAGGCAGTCCCACAGGAAAACAAAGATTAGGCAAAATATAGTTATAAACATGCTTAACATTCCTGTGTTTTGTACACTTTCCCTATTCCATCATCTCTCACCTTCCCACCCACCCCTCTCTCATTTTTGGTTAATTATGTGCCCCTAAAGGACAGGGGATTTATAAAATTGTGTGCATGTGTGCTAACAATCTCTTTCTCACAAATTATTTTCACAACATAGAGAAATAGATAAATGCAAGGCCAATGCACAAGATGCGGTGGCTTATGGGTAGGGAACTAGGTGTAGTCTGTGCGTTGTTAAAGTTGTAACTCATCCTCATTCTCCCTAAACTGGGGTAAAAACTAGGAAGATTATCAGAGTATAACGCTTTATTTTTCAGTCGGTTTGCAAGGATGAAATAAGTTCAGAAAGATGTTTTGTTGGGCTTCATGTCCAAGGAAAACCCTGCACATTTACACTTCAGTAAGTCTCATTAATAGGTACCATTTAAATATACTCAAGGCTTCTAGTTATATTGTCTATCTGATAACTCAATGACCTCACGTTTCCTTCCTATCCCTTCCATTTACAGATAAATGTGTTTGGGGAAATACTCATCATCTTGGTTTAATGCAACAAGTAAACAAAGAATTAAATATATCAAATATACCAAAAACTAGATAATTCAACAGCAATAATGATCTACAAGTCTAACTACTGCCAGTTCTAGAAACATAGATTTATTTTATCACAATTTCTGTGCTTTTATTTATTCCCCCACTTTTTTGAGTGGCAGGATGGAATTTATATTTTTACAAATTTAAGATGGGAAATGGTACACGGCTTTTTATTTGGTATAAATATTAACAGCTTGTCAAAGTTCTTCTGGGATTAGAATATTTTTTTCAAGTATAAGTAAATAAAATAAAGAGAGCCAGTTTGATCTAAAAGTTAAGGCACCAAGCTAGTGTAGGAAGTTATCATCCAGCCCTCTCCCAGGAAAATGAAATATCCTAGGAAATATTGAAAAGGCAGAGTATTTCTCTGGATGTGAAAAGAAAGAAACATGTTTTAAAAGACAGAATAGCTGCCTGCAGCTTCCTGCCCATTCCCACTTTGTCAATGGACCATTAAGAAGGCCAAGCTAGTCCCTTTACATGATAAAGACTTCTCCACTTCATCTCCAGGGGATGGGATTAAGACATAATATTGGCCCTTTACCCAACTCGCCACATGCCATCTGAGAACTCAACCAAACCTGGATTCAAAAC